TCGTCATTTTTTTATTACCATTCAACATTTCATTACGTTACTTTAAAAAACTATAACGCAGTATAGTAGCAGGACAGGAAGAAAAAAAGGTAAAGTAAAAAAAAGGGTATGTAATTACCGCAATTGTTTATTTATGACAATTACATTTATTATTAGTAATTTGTTGGTATGGACCAAGTAAATATTATCAAAAACTACCCCATATTTAACAAGAAAATACTTATTTTAGATGCAGCAGTCCAGAGATATCACTATTTTTACGTTCATTTCAGTTTAAAGATATTGTACCGAAAACGCCGAGAGCGCACTGCAAGGAAGTTAATAACTAGATGTAGTATATACTTAGATATTGAATTTTAAGAAAAATGTCTGCAATTCCCGGTGGACATTTTTCTAGCACTTTTTGCATTTCTAGATAGCGAAATTAAATGTTTAAAGAAAACAGTAACAGACATGGCCCGACCACATACGTAAAACAGATTTTTTAATTGTACACTAAACTATTTTATATTAATATTTAATAGTTCAATTGTACACAAAACTATTTTATATTAAAATTTCATATTAAAGTAAAATGGGGTATAGCAGAACAACGCAGAAATTGCAGGGTATAGTGGGACAGGAGGAGAAAACCGTAAATGGTTAGTTCATTTGTCAAAAACTATCCTTCAAAAAATTTTCTAATATTTCTTTATCTTTTAGCTAGATAAGACTCCCAAAATTGATTGTGGTAACATTAAAGGGAGAATGAATAAAATATTTTATCAAGCTGTCCAAGTACTCGTTTGATGCATACGTCTTAAACGAGGCATTTTGCCCATTTTAGATGTAACACTGAAGTTGACTATCAAGATGATATACCGAAAATACAATTTTTTTCGTACGTTCAAACTATTTATACGTAATAATATGACACTCAAGAATAAGTTTTATTAATTAGATCTTAAAAATAATTACTTTGTCATAAAATATAGCCTGTCCTAGTATACCCTTATTTTCTGCAAACACCATGTAGAAGTGCGACGAAGCTTATCATTGCTGTCCCACTACTGCATCCTTTTTTTTAAATAATAAGTAGTAGTGTGACAAGTACTTGACAAGACCAAATTCTATTTTTAACGACTGTGATTTCATGCTTATTACTATAATAATCGTGCGAGTGTCATCAGTCTAATCTTTAATAGTAAAATTACACTCAAATATATTTGTATGATTAGTAGTTAAGTGAATGGGAGCATTGCTACCTGGAAAATAGACATAATCTGAAACCTAACCTCAATGCAATCTGTATTAATCCATCCTATCCAATGTAAAAAAATCAGCTTTGCAGAAAATGATGTATATTTTTAATAATCAATTTTCATCATACTAATATTGGAAAAAAACTTAACAAAATCGATACCTCTCAAAATTGTCAACAAAAAAATTCAGGTATTAGTTTCCTCACATTATATTTTCATTTGGTATTTCAGCCTTTAAAACTTGCTTCTTATCTTGACAGAACAACCAGATAATTCTCTTTCAAACAATACATTTTCTGTAACCAATCTGAATTTTAAGATCAAGAAGGAAGCAGCTAAGGAAAACTGACCCGTGGTGGTTGTTAATAATTTGATGCATTACTAAAAAAAAAAAAAAAAGGAAAAAAAAGAGAAAACATTGAAAAAGCAGTAGGTTTTAGTTAATAAACAAGAAAAAGAGGAAATAAAAACGCTAAAGAGTACGAAAAAAATTTTCAACAAGAAGTTTTAAGAGAGTGAAAAAACTGTTAGGAACAAAAAATTGAATGAACTTCTTATTTTAAACATGAAATATAAAGATTTCTATTACTCTTTTGTCATTGACTTTTAATCTCCATACCTTTGTCAATGCTATGAAACCACTTAACGTATTTTGGGAAATTTGCCTTGAATGGTGCAGCATGGCAAAGTGCATAACACAAAATTTTGACTGAGTTTTTTGGGCTTTACAACTCGGTCGAAAAAAATAATTATATGTGTTATAGTTATACTTAAAAGTGGGTTTATCTTAGCCTTTAAATGGCATAAATTATTTTTGCGATCATCGTTGTATAGTTAAAAAATTGTAAATAAAAATAAAAGACGTGTTTTTAGCATGATCTTTGAATTCTTTATTTGTTTTGACCGAGCATTTTAAGCGATAAGATCTTGTAGGTATTGTAGGTATTGCAGATTGAAAAAATAGGTGTTATTTGTTTTTTGCAAATAATAAAATGCGTAGGAAAACTATTTTTACACACCGTATGTACAACGACGTCACAACATGTAGACAATAGTTTTTGTATCTGCTGCATAGCAAATTGATAGATTGTGAACAACAGTACACTACTTTATTTTTACTTGTCAAATGAAATATAAAAATCGCTTGATGCATGTCATCAGTTACCAGTACTATTTGATCGTTAATGCTTTAAAGCAAATCTTTGGCTTTATGTAGATTTAGATATGAATAACAGATTCATCTTTTATAAGATTGTTTTTTTACGCACTGTAGTAGCTAATATTCATAATCCTTATCAAACTGTTATTAGTATAAGCTATCATACTATTAACAAACTCAATCTCATTTACATTTTTCACGGGTGTAATATGACGCCAGACGTTGATACTGGGTCGATACTATGGATACTTATTTTATTCATAACCTAAAATATTAAATAATGCAGGTATATATGTTATTAACTTATTATCGAAGTTTGACTGTAAAAAGTATATCTAACCAAGATCAATTTTTTGGCTACGAAATAATTATTTGTGGTTAAACTACGATAAAAAATTTTAAAAAATAACTTTTATTTACGTGTGTTTGAGTCAAGTTTGCTGTTTTTCTTACTGAGACACTTTGCACCTAGTAATTCACTTTGGATCCTAGTAAATCATATAGCAGTAAATTTAACAATTTGAAATACAAATGAAAAAAATCATTTTTAAGTGGGTATGATTAAGTCCATCACAAGAAACAGACAAAAATCATCTCAAGCTTGGTATGAATCGAATAGAACTAATTATTCGCAAAAACAGTCAAATATGTGCACATGCTCAAATACTATATTTTAATACTATCAATATTAAGACAAAGAAAAGAATTATAAAAAAGAACCTGCACAAAGAGCCGTTTGATGACTGAAAAACCTGTATGGGCATTGAATATCATTCGTTCAAGAACACTGACATTTCAATGGGTTTGATTAAACATGATTCTTAAATCGATGACAGTTTTCGAGAAGCAAGTACTACTTTCTGATAATTCAATTACGACAATTTTTCAAGTAATTCATGATTTCATATCATATTTGCAAAAAAATTTGAAACGCTAATAATTAATTAATGTTTTATGTAAGATTTTAGTTGTATTAAGAAAAAAAATCATGTGAAATATTCAAATAACGTATTCGTTATGCACTTGATTCAGTTGCACCACTGAGTTACTCACTGAGTTCTCCAGAATGCATAGAGCTTCAATGAGATTTTTTTAATTATTTGAAAAATTAAAAAAAATAAATAAATAAAAATATTGAGAACGAAGTGACCAAATAAATCTGTGATTTGAGTGTATATTATGCTGGTGTACAGTAATAAATTTTTTTTGGTATTGTCACGTATCCTATAAAACTGGAAAAAATAAAAACATGGATCGCGACCATGTCAATACAACATTTCAATCCTTTCACTTATGTGAAGTTTAAGAGATGCAAGTACATCTTGCATATATCTATTTATGACAACGCGGTGTTTAATAAACATAAATATTAATGGCAGGTTGGGTGAACTTTTTCATATTTATATTTCACTTCTGCAAGATTACTTTTGTGTCTTCAGCTTTACTTAAGTTAAAGCATGCATTTCTCCTTATACATATTGAGTTGACACAGTTACAATATATATATTTTTTTTAGTCTTGTACTGTACGTGAAAACACCAAACAAAATTTATTACTACACAGCAGCTAATATACACTCAAATCACAGATTTATTTGGGCAGTTCACTGTCAATAATCTTTTTCTTGATTGATTGAAAGAATTGCTCCGTGCGTTCTGGCAATCTCACTGGGGACAATTTCTCTCACTCGGTGGCGCACAGTGAAGTGAAAAAGCGGTTTTTATTTAACAAAAAATGCCAACTTCTGTGAACCGATTTTTGTAAAATTCTTTTATTTACTTGCAGGGTGGGAGTTTGAAGTTTCAGATAGTATGAAAATACAAAGTATACATAAAGTTAATATTTACATTTGAAAAAATAAAAACATATTTCAACAAGATGTATGTCATTTTCATGGATTTTTGAGTAGCTGATCACATATCAATAGTCCAAAAAAACAAATTCTACCCCCTTTATTCCCTATTTTCTACCTTTAAGTGTAATTTGAGGGTATTAAAAAATCATCGACATGATGTATATGTACTTTATCTTTTTTAAATCACTGATCACGTGTCAGAAGTCATATTGAAGAAATTTTACCCCCTTTATCGCCTACTTACTACCCTAAAGTGTAATTTTATAATACATACAAATCTTACACATAATGTATATGATTTTTATGGTTTTTTGAGTCGCTTAACACATATCAAAAGTTAAATAAAACAAATTTCACTCCCTCGAAATTCTCGTCTCACGACTATATGTGTGTAGGAAGGTATATATTTATACCAATAAACATTGTAAAATACATCAGAAAATGTAAGATTCAGAAAATTTCTATCAATTATAAACAACATCTTCGTAGATAACAGTACTGCATATGTGTTCGAATTAAAAGGGTCATCATAACATTTAATATTGATTAAATTAAATAAGAGGAAGTTTTATTTAACTACTAAGTTATTATTTTTAAAAGTCTTTCAATTAACGATTTCATACTGAAAAACATTTAATAATAATCATTCGTATGAATTTTTATCATTCATAAATTTTGTTGTTTTAATGACTGATTTGCAATCAGCGGAGACGAGGGCCATTTGATTATTTAAACAAATATTTACCTTTATCAGCCTCGGGATCATTCCAGAATTCTCCATGGCTTAAATTGAATCTTCCAAATTCTATTCCTTTATGTTCTGAATATATCCAATTATTTTCCCATGAATCTATAAAGAATAAAAACTAGTTCTCAGTACTTATATAATAGCTTAAAATTTTAATTGGTCATAACATGAGGGATACAAAAAACATCTACATGTACAATACATACTTAATATAGAATATATTCCTGCCTATAAAGCTTATCACTCGAGTTTTAAAGTATTGCAAATCATTTGTACGTTAACGATTTAGCCTATTGCATTTCATTTGGTCCGGCTCAATAGATTTATGTTGTCATGTTTATGGTCATATTGGATGTTTAAAATTTTTTTATAATTTTTTGGGCTTAAACTATTTAAAGTATTCATTAGAAATAATAAACTGCTTTGCTCTGATATACTTAATTACATTAGAAAGGAAGTTTATTTAAAAAATCGTCCAATTTAAAAAATGAATAGTGGAATTCTTCTGGTGATGTCTGGACCTCAAGGGGCTTCAAGAAAATCCAAAACCTAGACAATGAGTTACATGATTTTTTGGAATAAGATCCTTCCACAAAATTTGATGATAGCTGAAATAAGCTCCAGACATTTACAGCGCTTTATAAATAGTACCCAGTAGAAGGAATGAGAGAGTCTTTTGAAGGAAACTTTGCAAGGGGGGCGCACGTAAGACTCGAATACTTGGGAAAATAATGCTGATTAGAGAAAAAAAAACAAGAAAGGTAGAGATTAGGGATAAAGGATATGTAAAAGCAATGGGGATAAGTAGAATCTAAATACTATACTACATCAGAAAGGTGAATACTAACAGTAGAGGCACTACAACTTTATCTGTTATCGTAACATCTAACGATTAGAATATAAATAAGAAAGAGGACATTTAGAATTGGTGCCATACCTATACAGGGTTTTTTTTATCCAAACGCTTTTTGTTGAGTAAGTGTGTGTATGTGTGTATACATGTCGGCACTTGAAACTCGGATCATTGTACTATTTACCTTCGTGTAAGTTTATGTCTGTGTGTAGCTATACATTAACAAACACTATGAATTTCACGCCTTTTCCAATTTAACTTACGTAAGAAAAGGTCGTTCGATACATCAACAATTTTTTTCACGGTCTTTGAAAAAGATACTTTGTGTTTTTCTATTTAATGTTTTATATGTCATTAGCATTAAGAAATTGGTCTTTGTATATTTATTCGTTTTGATAACGCCTGAAAAGGTCAGCACACCAGTGAACGAAACGTTGCAATGAAAATAGTATTTTACTTTGTTATCTAGCCTACAATATCAAGAATAAAATTTTATACATCAACAATATAAAGGGCAATAAAAATTGTAACTATAATATCTAAAGTGATTATTTCAGGAAAAAAGCGAGTGTCTCGTTTGAAGAACAGGTCTTCCTTCCTCTCCATTTTCGGTTATGTGACTGCCCTCAGTTTCATAGTCGTGTTTTTTAAATACTCTTACTATATAACTCTTACTATACATATATATCTTCTTTACTGACCCAGTACAGAGAATCGAGAACAAAAAGATGCACAGACGCATAACTGTGCTATTGTACGTGACACATCCTGGACTGCAACAGTAGATCTGGATTTTTAAATACCAAAAGGTTATCTTTGTCATATTTTGCTTTTTTACTTCCGAAAAAGAAAAATTGCAGCGCAGGTTTATCGAATATTATGTAGTGTTAATGGTGATAACAGCTTAAGTGAACGTCAGTGTCAATATTGGTTTGTTCATTTTGTTTTGGGAATTTCGATGTTAGAGATGAACATCACCCTCGTCAGCCAATTGTTAAAAAAGTTAATGAAATTATTAAAAAAATCGAGGTAGACCGACATATTTTGTCTTGCGACATAGCTACGGAACTAAAAATCGACTATAAAATAGTTTTAGAACATTTACATACGGCTGGATACCAAAGAAAGCTCGATACTCAGGTTCACATGAATTAACAGAGAAAAATTCCATGGACTAAGTTTCCATTTGTGAACCACTGCTTAAACAAAACAAACTTGAAACATTTTTAAACCAAATGATTACGAGTGATAAAAGTGGATCATGCACAGCACGCCTGTGCGAAAAAGATCATGGTTGAAGTCCAGAGAAGCTTCACAGACGGTTGCAAAGCGTGTATTGACGCCAAGGAATGTGATGCTGAGTGGGACTGGAAAGGAATTGTTCAAAATAAGCTCTACCATCTGTTTTGGTCACTGCCAGGATTCTTCTAGTGGTATAAGATTGGCTTCAAAAGAGGCTTGCGAAAATCACTTGCTTCAGTGTTTTTCCCAGAAACGTTAGAAGTTCTGTAGTGACGGAATTACGGATTTACCAGAAAAGTGGCAAAAGGTCATCAATGAAAAAGGCAAATATATCATTGATTAATATTTCAAATTTATTTGAATAGATTCACTTTGCAAAACGGAAAAAATCAAAATTACTTTTTCCCAAACCCGATATGTAAAACTGTTCTTCCAGACATTATGAAATGGTTGAACTGGAAGGTTAATCATGCATGTTATTAAAGTTACTGACAACTAAGTAAGGTTGATACATGAGGCAAAGATAACACTCAGGAAATTGTATTCTGTAAAAGATATTTGATTCGATGTACTACTTAGCTGGATGAAAGAAAAAATATTTAGGACATTATATTTGAAAACGTTGATAAAATTTATTTTATAAAGATCTTGGAGGGTTAGGAGAAACCTTTTTATCAATCGTGAAATTTTTCACTACCTTTGGATTTAAATAATATCGAGATTGCAATTTTTTAAATTCGAATCTAAGAAGATTTGCGTGAAGTCGATGATACTTGGGACTTTTATGATTCTGAAAAAAGCTTTAGAGATAGTAGACAGAACTTTATGTGATCAAGTAATAAACATGTATATTTTGGAACTAAATAAAAAATCTGAGGAGATCAATCGCTTTTGCAATGGTTAAATTCTGTTTTCAATTGTTAATGATATCGTATTTCTGCATCAAACGAATAATAGTCATACTTTCAAGTAGGATGACATCAAAGTTTTTGATAAAGAATAAAATTATAAAAAACGGTTAATATCCAAAGTGCTACATATAGTTCCCTATAGTTACAACATCAATGACAAAGGACATCTACGACTCAAGCTTTACATACAAAAGGTTGTTCGAATTTTCGCACTTTTAGTCACGTATATGTAATTCTATGTGTAGTTGAATACATGTCATAGTACAGCGGTTAAAATGTCGATGTGCGCATGTACTTGATGATTCTATTACAACTCAGAGCAATAATGCTGCTGTTGCGAATCAAACGTAAGTGCGAATAAGTCGTTCAATACATTAATAGTTTAAATGTACAATATGACACATTTAAATATGTTTCAAGATTTTTTGTTTTAAGATGTGTGCTCGTGCATGTGGTGAGCTATAAATTTACAATATAGCATAATGATGCTACCTTTGCCGATTCTACTTGCATAAGAGTAAGTTTTTCGATACATTAAAATTTCTTTCAGTGTTTCACATAAGGTAATCTGCTGTTATTTTTTAACTTTTATAATACTAAGACAGTAGTCATTGTTTTACATTATTTTTTGTTTGAATAATACCTGCAGAGGTTAACACGCCTGTCAACTGAGCGTTGCAAAAAAGCAAGTGTGTTATTTCTATTTAAAACCTCATCCCTAAAAATCAAGGAAAAAAAAAGATACCAATCCCTATAACATGGAGGACAAGAAGTCTACAATTAGTAAAAAGAAAAAAATCTCAAAAAAACAAAAGAGGTAAATGTAAAAAAATGCAGTATCGGAATGGCAAACCTTTTTAAGTACAAAAACAGATTCAGAAACAAAAAGAAAGGAGTAAACAATTTGATTAAACTAGAAGAATAAAATAAGTGTGACTTACAGTATATAGAGCCTTTGTAAGTTCACGCCCAAGACTCACCTCTCACGGCGCATGAGCAGTGGATACAGAGTATGATGATCACCTTTCGGCGTCGGGCCGGAGTGTTATCAGCTCTCCCGCTCTCTCTCTCTCTCTCCGATCAGCCTCCGAACCTAACACCACGCACGCGACTGCTCTCGCTTTGAAGCACTAATAAATGAATATATACTTTCTTCCACGTGTATTCAATCCCCTTACACCCTCAAGCTCCACAATTCCCACGTAACAGGAGGTTGTAGATAACCCAACCCCCAATTTTTGGCGCTCGACGTGTAGCGAGTTGTGTACGACAAAGTGATAGAAAATTTTTTTTTTCTTTTCTTTCGTCGTCGGGAAGCACCCATAGTACAGTGTAAGTGTAAGTGGAAATAAAAAGAATTATCGTGAAAAGAAAAATGAAATTAAAGAAAAAAAAAAAAATTTTTAAATAGAAACAGTGGATAATAACAAGAAAAAAAAATACACTGTTAAGAAGATACACGTGGCGATACACGCGGGAAACGAGCAGGCGTCAATTACCAGCGTGGGCGCAATGCAACCATCCAGGAGGCCGGCACCGTCACGAAATAAGACAAGGGAGAGCCAAAACACAAAACAACACCACACCACGCACCTTTTGGTAGCATTATTTTTCCTTGGACATTTTGTTTACGGACACGGAAATTCTTTGGATCGTACTGCTTACAATACTGTCCAGGTAGATAAAATTTATATAAACGGTAAATAATATTACTGCTGGGCGATAAATTTTAGCAAATTAACAAATAGGCCTATAACAAACAAATACAACCAGACAAACCAAAAAAAAACAACAAAAAAAAAACAACCAAGCGAAAAAAAAAAATGCAGTCGGGAAAAATTGATAACAAACCAGGTGGGGCGGAGGACCGCTTAGCAGACACGGAGGTCGTAACAGACGATAGTTCGTGGTTACAATTTTGCCACGATCCCAAGGCGGTCAAAGAATTAGAAAGGTCGAACAAAAAAACAAAAGACTTAATTGGAAAAATTTTTAAGGGCATGAAAACAGGTCGTGCTGAGAGATAAGAAAAAAGAGGGCCCTAAGCAAATAATTGGAGGAAACGTATATAGAGAATTATATATAGAGCCCCTGCG